CTAAATCGTAAAAGTTGATGGATCTCTCCATAACCAAAGTTTTGTACTCGTTCGGATATTTAAACAATTTCAATTTGATTTTCTTTTTTGGGTTCATATTTTTTGCCCAGCCTAATATCAGTTTGTAATTTACTTTAGTTTTGGTTTGGTATAATAGTTCAATAGATTTACCTTCTTGTGGACTCGGTTTTACTCAAATTTCTGGTTGATTCAGTTCGGTTTTTGATTGGTTTTAGTTTGATTATTTTTACTGCATTTTAGACAAAGGATCTGAAACGTCCTGACATAATATCCAGAGGACCAGAGACAACGTTAAGATTCCCCTTTATGAAATGCTGCCTCCCACCCAAATTTCGATTTTTCTTTAGTTCGATTACCAGGTTGTAATTTGCTTAAAGTTTCGGTTGGGTTTAATAGATCAATAAATTTGATTTCTGGATTTGGTTCGATTCGGTTTCGCTCAAGTTTGGTTAATTCAGTTTGGTTTTGGGTTCGATTTTGATTATTTTTCCTTTGTCTTATTTTTTTTTTTAAATGAATAATTCTGACCTAACCGGAGACAACGCTAAGTCTGTTTCCCTTTATAATCCCCTGAATCGCTGCCTCCTCTTAAACCAAACTAAAACCCTAGCTTCTCCTTTCTCACATAGCTTCTCTCTCACAACTCGGAGGCGCGAAGATGACGGTAGAAGCAGTGAACCCTAAGGCGTATCCGTTAGCCGATTCTCAGCTAGCGATTACCATCCTCGATCTTGTCCAGCAAGCTACGAACTACAAACAGCTCAAGAAAGGAGCTAATGAAGCTACCAAGACTTTGAACCGTGGTATCTCTGAGTTCGTGGTCATGGCTGCTGACGCTGAGCCTCTCGAGATTCTTCTCCATCTTCCTTTGCTCGCTGAAGACAAGGTATAGCCTTCTTCTTATCCTTATGAATCTCAGTTAGGTTTTAAGTCTTTTGCTAGTTTCACTTGTTTCTCTTGTATATCTAATTTACATCAATAATTGTAGAAAGTCTGTATGTAGAATCTGTTAGTTAGACTCCACTTTCGAGGTTTGAAGTCATGATGTTCTGTAGTAACACTTCACAATATTGTCTGTTGTGTAAATATTACTAGTTCATAAATATCTAACCGACAAGAAATAATATATGTAGTGTTACTTAGTTGAAACCTGTTGCATTTGTAAGTATGTTTAATAGTTTTTGTGCAATCTTTTTTTTTTACAAGCAACTTCTGATGCACTAACTAACTGTTTGTTCTGTCTGTATGTTTTTGAATTGTTGTAGAATGTGCCGTATGTGTTTGTGCCATCGAAGCAAGCTCTTGGGAGAGCGTGTGGTGTTACAAGACCCGTGATTGCTTGTTCGGTTTTATCAAACGAGGCTAGCCAGTTGAAAGCTCAAATTCAGCAGCTTAAGGATGCTATTGAGAAGCTTCTTATCTAGGTTTTTCGGGTGGGGATATGAATGAATGATGGGTCTCCTCCATTTAATGGAGAAGGCTTTGAAGTTTTAGCTTATGAAAAAACGATGATTCTACTATGAGTTTTTGAAGTTTGTAATGTTTTTTTTTTCTATTGTGTTGCTGCTATTGCAGTTTTGAACAAGAACTATCATTTATAATTCGAGTTTCTTAGATTTAGCTTAAATTTTTTATCCCACGAGATCTCAATTTTTTTGTAACCGGTAAGATTCCAAAAGCACTTGCCATACAAAATGCTTTAACTTGGACAAACATATCAAATTCCACGAATATGCCAATAAAGATTTGGTTTCTTTAGGCTTAATTTGGCTTCTTACACGTTTACTTTCCAATCATGTCCAGCATTACAGAGTTTTGTTTGATGTCCAGCATTACAAACATGGACTTTGTTCAATCAAATCACTTGTATTTTTTCAAGGTATTTGGTGTGCACGAATGTGAATTATCCTTTTAGAGACTTTCTAAATATCATGATTTTAATCATTTTCCATATACCATGTGGTATATTTGAAAAAATCAGATGATGAAATTTTTAAAAACAAAAATAGAATCTAAATGGCACTTTGGCTCTAGCAAAAATAGAAGGAAATATATGGGAAGAAGCAAAAAAATGGAGATACTTTGTACTTTCCTCTAAATCATTACTGAGTGATATAACCAGGTGTTATATGGACAGAGCTTGTAAAGAACAAGATAAATTTTTGGGTCAATGAAGATTTTGCAACCAGGGAGATTCAACATTCAAGAAATTAGATATGGGATCTATGAACATCCAACGAAGTCTATCACCCTGATATGCTAAATATGAGATGTTGAATTGGACGATGAAGTGCATGAAGAACTTACAAATCTTAAGGATGGTGTTTACAACTGATTGTCCTCAATTGCTAAAGATAGTATCTTTTAGTCTCAAATGAATGACTAACTTTCACTATTATAAAAGAATTTGAACAAATGTAAGAAATTTTCTGAGTCAATGATTGTTTACAATTGATTGTTCTCAATTGCTAAAGATGGTATCTTACAAATCTTAAGAATGGTGTTTACAACTGATTGTTCTCAATTGCTAAAGATGATATCTTTTATTCCTGAATGAATGACTAACTTTCACTATCCTTATAAAAGAATTTTAACAAATGTAAGAAATTATTTCCACCTGCAAAATTCAACATGTACTAAAAACGCAAAACACTTTGGCATACAAGTTTGTACGTGGTGTTCGATGTCTTCTTCAATTAAGCTAGCCAAATTGTAAGTTTTTTTTTAATTTAGTTTTGTTTCATGTTGAAAAAAGTAAGGAAAAAGCTATGGTATCATCTATGCCATACAAATATTTAACCTTAAATAATATTTTTTTTTAAAAGAAATCTACCTACTTGAACAATGTGGTTCTTAAAAGCACAAATTAATTGAACAATGATTTATTTTATAATGTAAGCGATATGCTAAACGAAATTTAAACACAAAATAGAAAGTAACATTTATTTAAATGTTTTTTCTTATAAAAAAATTAACTTCCATTAAACAAAGCAAAAATTTAAATAGATTTTTTTGTTAAATCAATTTTTATATTATTTTTTTTTTCTCAACCAATTTCTATATTATCTAATCATATGAAATTATATTCTAGGTTAATAAATAAATTTATGTGTAAATTAAAAATTTCCAGGAATCAATAAAATTACATAGTGATTTAGTTTCTAACATAATAACATACTAGGTAGTAACCCATGCTATGCACGGGAAGAAATAGTTTATTAGATTATTTATTGTATGTTATACTAAAAAATTTGTTTTATAGCTTTTTCTAGGAATGTACATTCATATATTCATTCAGATTCAGTTGATCTATTCGGATTTTTAGAGTTAAAAATCTAAATTATATTCAGATATTTACAAATTTTGGTTTAGATTTGTTTTGAATCATTTTCGATTCAGATTCGAGTTCATATACCCATTTTAATTATGTATTTTTTAACAAAAATTCAAATATACTTGAATCCACAAAATCTGAAAATAAAATAATAAAAATATAAAAATGAATAACGTACGACTAATTATTTAAATTTACATAAAATAGTTGAATTTAAATATTTGGTTGGAGAAAAAACAAATATTTCAAAATTTTGAAAATTTTTCCCTGTTATTTTTAAATATATATATTTGTGACTATATTGATAATTTTTTAATTTTTTTATATTTTTGAATATCTAATAGATATAAATTTAAAATAATTAACATATTTAAATCTATAAGATTTTTCAGTATCCAAAATATTTTAGTTTGGAATAATTTGGATATGTTTATCTGGATATTAAATTTTTAGATCCATCTAAGTACTTAATCAATTTTAGTTTTTGTTTAATATTATTTTGAAATCTAGTTCAGTTTGGTTTTACAGATCCAAATATTTTACCCCGACTTATTTTTCATACTAATATAAAGCAAATAAAATAAATTTAAAACAAATATTTTTGACTTATTTAACATATGTAATTATTGGAATATAATTTAATAATACCAATTAAAAGGTTGGCCATTATGTCAATATTTTTAGACATATTGCAAGATTGACGTAGTCTATAATCACTAATTAATTTGTATTTCCTTATAAAAAATTCTTGGTAAATATATAAAATACGATACAACTGAGTAAAAAATATTACATATGCGTGAAAATAATATGATCTCTACACTCGGCATGAGAATTATGTTTTCCAAATCGGTTTCATGAATCTTATTTTTTAGGCTTTTCTGTTTTTTTTATAGTAATTTGATTATGTTTCTTGTTTTGGTTAAATGTAGAAAATTTTGTAAAGAAAAATAATATTTGACTGAACTAAAGATCCGACTTTGAATGTGTAGTATTTTTACCTCAGTTTTTTTGAATTCATAACCAATCACAATTATTTATTACACTCGTATACAAAAGTCTCAACCCTGGCTAAGTTGGATAATATATGCAACTTTCAATTTTTAAAAACATTCTCATTCTAGTATTTAGTTGATGCGAATTTTAATAATTTTGTATTTTTTATTTCAAAATGATATTATTCAGTAGTTGTATAGATGGAAAATTTAAAAATAAGCTCATTAAAAAAATAGTATAGATTTATTAACTTTTCTTCAGTAAAATCAATGCGAGGCTGGCACGTGTGCAATATGGTGTGAAAACATTAAATGAACAGTGATTCTCTTTTAATATATAGGGGATTAATAGACTACTATAAATATATTTAAAATAAACTAAATAATTATGATAAAGATATTAAGATCTTATTTGTTTTTTTAATAACTAATGTGACTATCAATATCCATTATCTTTTATGATATCTCAACAATACAAAATTTTATATAGTTTATATTTTATCAACCATAAAATTATAATTTTTTGATGAAATTGTATACAATTTGTTTTGTGTGGAAATTTTAAATTATTTCATAATTTAATTATATATCCCATTATGACAGCGCTATTAATAAGAGGTTAAATTTAGTCTTTCACTTTTCTGAGTGACGGAGGGCGAGCAAGTCCCTTTATATACGTTTGTATCCTTTCCTTGTAACCAGAAACGTTCTCAATCTCCTTCCTCTTCACCCTATTCTCTCTGAAACGCGAAAACAAATCCTAATCGCAATCTCGAATCCGAAGGTAACAATAGGAACCCTAGAGACCTAATCGAACACATAAACCGTCCGATTCCATCTTCGATTCGATTTTGAAATCGAGAAACCCTAATTTCCATTTTTTTTCAGGGTTACAGAAAGGATCATCATGTCGCACTGTTTGGTTCTGAAGCCGGCGTGCATGGGCTGTGGATCGCAGTCCGATCTCTACGGAAGCTCCTGCAGGCACATGACGCTATGCTTGAAGTGCGGTAAAACCATGGCTGAGAACAAAGCCAAGTGTCTCGATTGTGGAACCGTCCTCACTCGCTTGATTAGGGTTAGTTTCAAAAATCAATTTGAGATGAAGAAGAAGAAAAAAAATCAATTCTTGTGGTTTGTTTGTGTAGGAGTATAACGTACGTGCGGCTACACCAACGGATAAGAACTACTTCATTGGTAGATTTGTGAGTGGTCTTCCCAATTTCAAGAAAGGCTCTTCTGAGAATAAATGGTCTCTTCGTAAAGATATTCCTCAAGGTCGTCAGTTCACTGATGCACAACGGGTAATGTTTGTGTCTTGGATCGTTATCATCATCATTATTATCATCATGTTAATGGGTTATGTGAAATGGAACTTTTTGTAGGAGAAGTTGAAGAACAAGCCTTGGATCCTGGAAGATGAAACTGGCCAGTTTCAGTACCAGGGACAACTTGAAGGATCCCAGTCTGCAACTTACTACCTCTTAGTGATGCAGAACAAGGAGTTTGTCGCCATTCCTGCTGGTTCTTGGTATTGAACTTCTCAAAGCTTCTTTTGTTGGTTTGTTTCTCAAGTGTAATGTAACTCTAAAGGTAGATTTTCTGCGTTACAGTTGTTATCTTTCAACATCTGTTTTTTGTTGTTGTTGTGTTAGGTATAACTTCAACAAGGTTGCACAGTACAAGCAACTTACACTGGAAGAAGCGGAAGAGAAGATGAGTAAGCGTAGGAAAACTGCGGATGGGTATCAGAGGTGGATGATGAAAGATGACAAGGAGGCAGGTGGAAGCAGTGGAGGTGGTGGAGGTGGTGGTGGTGGTGGCAGGGGTCGCAAGAAGTCTTCAGTAGGCGAGGAAGAAGAGGGTAATGTCTCTGATAGAGGGGAGGAAGATGAAGAGGAGGAGGCTTCACGCAGGAGTAGACTCGGGCTTAATAAAAAGGGTAATGCCGACGATGAAGAAGAAGCTCCAAGGGGTGGTGATCTTGACATGGATGATGATGACATTGAGAAGGGTGAGTTGTAAAACTTTTTTTGGTCTTATCTATTTAGCTAACTCGAGAATCTGGCTTGTAAAGTTTGATAATGGTGTTGATATTTCAGGGGATGACTGGGAGCATGAAGAGATTTTTACTGATGATGATGAGGCAGTCGGTAATGATCCTGACGAACGTGAAGATCTTCTGGCGCCTGAAATTCCGGCTCCTCCAGAAATAAAGCAGGTCTATCTTTTACTATAATACTCACTTGCAAGACAATGTGCAGTTCTCTATGGGATCTTCTATGAGGTTCCAACTTTCTGTTTATTTCTCGTGCAGGACGATGAGGATGAAGAAAATGAAGAAGAGGAGGGAGGATTGAGCAATTCTGGCAAAGAATTAAAGAAATTGCTCGGCAAGGCTAATGGTTTGAATGAGCCTGAGGAAGAAGATGACGATGATGACGATGATGATGTAAGCCCTCTTCAGTTTCCCACACAGCTTGCTTGGAAATTAATTTGTTCAATTCCGAAGCACTCATTTGATTATACTTTGCTACTCTAAGCTGGTTTTGATACAATTAATCATTCTAAATGTTGTTTCATAGGAGGAGGAGACAAACTTCAATCCAGTTACGAATTCTAAACAGAAGGAAGCGGCCAAAGAAGAACCTGTTGAAAGCACTCCTCCAAAGCCTGCACCCCTTTCATCTTCTCGTGGAACGCCTTCTGCAAAACCATCAAAGGGAAAGAGGAAACTTAATGAAGGCGATTCTAAAAAACCCAGCGGCAGCTCTGTTCAAAAGAAAGTGAAGACCGAAAATGTAAGACGCTTGCTTCTGTTTATGCTATATATAAAATACTCAATCCATGAGGTGAAGAGGTTTATAGAGGATTGTTGTCACCTTTAACGTCTAAGCAGGAGTCGAAATCTTCTGTGAAGGAAGAGAAAAATAACTCAGTTTCAAAATCAAAGGCACCAACAAAACCCGTGAAAGCTGAGCCAGCTCCAGCTATTGCCTCAGCCTCAGCTGCTACAGGGCCTGTGACTGAAGATGAAATCCGAGCTGTTCTCATGGAGAAGAAGCAAGTCACTACACAGGACCTTGTCTCCAGGTTCAAGGCAAGACTTAAGACCAAAGAGGTAATATTTGCTTTAGTCTATTCTATTTCACTTTTTGAGGAACTTTATGGTTATGATATCTGAGCTTCAACTTTGGAGAATCAATCCTTTTGCGGATCTTTACAGGACAAGAATGCTTTTGCTGATATTCTGAGGAAGATCTCAAAGATACAGAAGAATGCAGGTTCTCAGAACTTTGTCGTTTTGAGGGGGAAATGAGACTGCACCTCTATCTTCTGAACTAACTCTTTTGAGGGAAAACAATGAGAATTTTATCTTCAAATATGTTAAGCAAACATAAGAATCTTCTCTTTTCATGATTTCTTTACATAGAATCAAGTTAAAGAACTACTTTACCATTGGGTTCTAATCTCTTTGCTGAGCATCAAGAAAGTGATTTCTAAACCCCATGACCTTTGGGGGTGTTACAATCTGTCCAAACATGGACCCAGAACTAACATATGCTTCAACCAAGAAGTGTAACAACATAAACCATTGCACAAATCATCAGAACTAGGGGTGGGCACAAGCCAAGTACTTGCCCTTTTGGATGTACTTGGCTTGGCTTGTTCGAGTAATAAAATTTTGGACTTGTATTTGGTTTATTATAAACGAGTACTTGCACTTTCAAATACTTGGTAAAATATGGTATACTTGCAAGTACTTGCTCTGTTTTACTACTTGTTTGCTTCTGAACTAATTTCTTTAATAATTTTTTAATAATTTTTACTACTTAAACCTTGTATATAAATTTTATTTAATAATAATTTATTAATTTTTGCTACTTAAATCTTGTATATGAATTTTAAAAAAATTTAGTTAATTATAATTATAATCTATAATTTTTAATAAAGAATATTTATTTATTTTTCATATGTTTTAAATCGATATATGATAAAAATAAAATTAAAAAAAAACTCTCTCTATAATATATCACTTTTAATTCATTTATTTTATAAACAATTAATTTGATTATAAGTTAGAGATTTTTATGCTTAAAAGTAAAAAACCGGGTAATAAATCAAGTTATAAATCACGAGTAACAAGCCAACAACGCCAAGTAGTTACTTTTATTTTAGTACTTGATACTTGTCTTGTACTTGCAAGTAATTGAAATAAACGACTTGATACTCGACTTGAACAAAACGAGTACTCGACTTTAAGAGCCAAGTACGAATCAAGTAGCGAGTACAAGCCGAGTAGCAAGTAATTGTGCCCACCCCTAGTCAGAACTCGTACATCCGGGGAATTCAGATGAGGCAAACGATAACACCGTAAAGATGCATAGAATCACCAGAGGGAGAGAAAAGTGGGCATAATAGTTTGGTAATGCCAATATGGTGAGTAAAGAATGTATATGTAGAGAGAGGTATTTCCCACACCATAGGATTGAAACTCAGAGACAAAGATCATAACCACTTCCAACAACTTCTAAAACCAGTCAGCAACACATCTTCAGTCTCTCTTGATGACTTAGTTGTATAACCCATACGGTTTCTCCAACTAGTCAACAATATATCTTCAGTCTTTCTCTTGATTACTAAGTTTTTGAATCCAAATCCTTTTGTCGACGGATGCTCCTATAACACTTAGTCTCTGAAGGATGAGAAGTCTACTCAAGCTCCTGAGAGCGAGCAGAACCTCTCCGGCTCTCCCTTGATGACTGCATGGTAGATACTTGTATCAGTCTCCTCTTCTCTTGTATAATCTACTAGCATAACTAGATATTCACATATTTCTCACCAATAATCTCATTCATAATTTCCTCAGANGGATGCTCCTATAACACTTAGTCTCTGAAGGATGAGAAGTCTACTCAAGCTCCTGAGAGCGAGCAGAACCTCTCCGGCTCTCCCTTGATGACTGCATGGTAGATACTTGTATCAGTCTCCTCTTCTCTTGTATAATCTACTAGCATAACTAGATATTCACATATTTCTCACCAATAATCTCATTCATAATTTCCTCAGATAGATCTTCTTTCTGAATTTCAGGAACCATGGAGCTCAAGAGTGTCCAGAACCATCAACAAGACCTCTGCACTTTCCGGTGGTATCATCAAGTCTTCTATAGTGTTTGTATGTGATCTCAGGCTTCACCAAAAAACTTATTCGACCCATATCTTCAATCCGTTTTTATCTATATGTTAATTCACAGTCTAACTCATTCTGAATTCTTTTGGTCGCCGATGTGATGTCTGTTGACCTAAGCTTGAAATTAAGGAAACAATATAGAGACCTAATCCTATTGGGATATGGAATTAGAATATGTTTAGGAGTTGTACTGTCTAAACAGGATTAGGCAATATTAAGCTTCTTTTTTTTTAACGCTTGTATTTCATTCATAATTGTTCTTACAATACTGAATCAGACAAGCCAGCAAACATAAGAAATATACCAGTAGGCACCGTAAATTAATTCCATACATATGTGGGTAAAGTAAATGCAAAGGAGAATCGTGAAATTGTGTAGGAGAGCCAGACAAAACAATAACCAATGGAATTGATTTTTAACCTCTCTCGCTAACAGAGCCAGCCAAGTAAAATCCTTGCTTGATACATAGATGATTCTCACGACAACAAAACAATGCATATGTCTGTTGGATCAATTATTACAAAAGCCCAAGGCTTAATTAAATAATGATAAATCTGTGAAAAGAAATGGGTTTTGTGGCTCAATTATTAAACCAAGAGGAAGAGAAGCAAATCCCACATCGGGCAACTTGCTCTCATGTGAGTAACATATATATGTTATCACAACTTATTAACCAGTTTGGAGAGAGAGAAAGGCTTTTACGTGCATGCTGTACAGCTGACTTGGGTGGAAGGCCTTTAGCCCGATAATAAGTTATATTTTTGGACCAAATCAAGCCCAACGTTTTGCCATATAAATTACAAAAAAACAGCATGCAATTTTATTTAAAACGACATGTAGTTCGATAAAAAACAACACGTTGTCTCTCTCCTAAACGATAAGTTTAAACGAGAAAAGATCTTGCAGAGGAAGTTTTTCGTAACGCTTCACCTCCGAGATTCTCGC